ATGGTGTAGAATTATTGTACCATTATTATGGAGCGAGCCAACCGTTCATTTTTTCGACAAAAGACTTATAAGAGTATATCTTTTAGCGTTAAATGCTGAAGAACAAGCTTTATTGGTACCCTTTAAAATCATACTTCCAAATTATCCAAAACCTTTATTTGAATACACAAGTTACACTGAATCAGTTGGCCATTATTTGACCGGTGGAGTTAAAAATTGGCTTAAAGAATGTAATGTTAATAGACCTAATAATTTAATTATTAATTCCATTAAATGGTCTTTGATTGCAATGTTTTTACGAACAAGTAAAAAACTTCAATATTTAAAATATTATATGGGTTATTTTGATTTTGGGAGAATAAATACGTTAATAAGAAATATCAATGAAAACACTAGTTTAACTTCATTAGATCTTTCGTTCAATAAACTTGGTCCTGAGGGAGGGGAAGCACTAGCGGAAGCTCTTTATAACAACACTACTCTAACTTTTTTAAATATTAGTGATAATAAACTTGGATTTAAAGGTGGAAAAGCATTAGCAAAAGCGCTTTGTAAGAACAATACTTTAACCAATTTAGATATTAGTCATAATAACATTGATTTTATGGGAGGAATAGTATTTGCAGATGCTCTTTGCAAAAACACTACTTTAACTTCTTTAAATATTAGTGTAAATCTACTTGGTTCTATGAGCACGAGAGGATTATTAGAAGCTCTTTCAAAAAATAATACTTTAACTTGCTTAGATATTAAAGGAAGTATAATTGATTTTGGAGGAGTAAAAGTATTGACTGAGGCTCTTTGCAACAACACTACTTTGACCTCTTTAAATATTTCATTTAATCAACTAGGCTATGAAAAAGGGAAAATTATAGCACAAGCACTTGGCGTAAACACTTCTTTGATTTTATTATATATTGATGGTAACCAACTTGGGTCTTTAGGAATGAAAGCGATAGCAGAAGCCCTTCATACAAACGACACTTTAGAAACTTTATTTATTAATTTTAATAATGCTGGTTTTGAAGGAGGAAAAGCTATAGCAGATGCACTTCGCATAAATACTACTTTAACTTGCCTAAATATTTGCAGTAACAATATTGATATCAAAGGAGGAGAAACACTGGCAAGTGTTCTTTGCACAAATCGTACACTGACTTCTTTGGATATTAGCGATAACAAGATTGGTGTTGAAGGAGGAGAAGCATTTGCAAGGGCTCTTCTCATAAATACTACACTAAAGTCTTTATATATTCAGGGAAATAAGCTTGGTTTTAAAGGCGCATTAGCATTAGCGCAAGCACTTTGTAAAAATGTTACTTTATCTTTATTAAATATTAGTAATAATGAAATTGGATCTAATGGAGGAAAGGCATTAGTGGGAGCTCTTTGTATAAACACCGCTCTGACTTCCTTAGATATTTCTTATAATAATCTTAATTCTGAAGTTGGAAAAGCCTTAGTGAAGGCTCTCTATAAAAATATTGCATTAACCTACTTAAATCTTGACGGAAATCAAATTGATTTTAAAAATTGCAAAAATACGAGAAACATAGGTGCATTAAAAAAATTTTTCTTACATACTTATTAAGATGTCTAATTATATAGATTTAAATGATAAGTAATATTTATTAACTTATCAATAAATGATTCTTTCTTTTATTTGGTTTAAATATTTGCTAATCTATCATAAATAAAGTAATTTAGTGACAACTTCAAGCATATACTGATTTTTATGACTATTGAAACTTTCATTAGACGTTAATAAATTTGAATTTGTCCCAGTTAGCATATTATAATAACCAATAAATTCACGTGTATTCACTGATCAAGAATTTATTAATAAAGGTTTACGATTATCTACAATGTACGTGGAACACAGAACGAACAAAAGAGGTCTTTGCTTTAAAAATCTCATTATAGGACATATGAAATACTATGTTCATAACGTGATTTTCAAGCTAAAGACCCAAATAATTGCAAACAAAACGTTGTATTAAATAAATGACGGTAAATAAATTGAATTTTACAGAGGTTGTAACAATTTTATTTTGTAGCATAACAGAGTTAATACTCAATACGTCTCAAAAATCGAGGTTAAATAAACGATAATAAGGGATTGTACAATGGTTTATGATTGTTAGGATATGAACGATAAGAAGCTTTATAATCGATTGTATAGAGTCTTCATATAATAAAGAAAAGAATACGATGGTAAGCTTGAAGTTTGTCTACAAAGTGTGAAATACTGCCAAATATATGTTGTGCGTCAAATTAAAACCTGCGTCATGTTAAAATCATTAGAATTTCACTAATAACTAACATAAGCACCCCTAACCCTAACAAAATTCCACATTTAAATTTTGATCTGACGCAATTTTTCGACAAACCAAATTTTTTGTGATATTTATCATCAATATCGTGCAATTATGATCATATTTTAAAAGTCATGATTTGCTTATTTTTAAGTACGTACAGTACGTACGTGCGTACGTAATAAAAAGCAAACTCATTGATCAAATTTAAAAAATTGATAAAAATGCGTTGAGTTAGCACATATAGAATAGATTAGAAAAATCTTGGGCAATTCCAAATCCTACAGTATAAGTGACCCTTTTAATAAAACTTATTGTTATTTCCGGAACGCTTCAATATCACTCCGCCCCCCGGTATTTTAAATGTACTTTGTTTCAAAAACTTTGTATAAAAAGAAAAATCAATAAATGTGTCGTTAATATTGATCTGAATGATGCTCGATAAATAATTATATTCAATATTAATATATAGGGTATTGATCAAATTCAAACGGAGTCATAAGATGCATATCCGTCGGAGTAGCATATCCGACTATCAGATTATATAAATTCACACGAATACATATGTAAGCTTACAGATTACGTTTATAATAAAGTCAAGGTAGGCCTTTCTAAATATCTAAAAAATAAATGTGTGCAAATTCTCAATGAATTATATGCACTACACTTTCTGCTTAGGTAGAAACTTAATTAGAGGTGAAAGCTCGATAAAAGGACTTATCTTGGCATAAAATTGCTGAGTGCTAAATATAATTAACAATTTAATAGTATATTAAGAGAAATGCAGCTCTTTGTGAAAACAATGACCGGGAAAACTATCACTCTAGAAGTAGAGTCGAGTGATAAAATTGTCCAAGTTAAAGAAAAGGTACAAGATAAAGAAGGCATTCCCCCTGATCAGCAAAAATTTATTTTCGCTGGCAAGCAATTGGAAGATGGACTAACCTTGTCAGATTATAACATCCAAAAGGAATCTACAATGCATCTTGTACTTAGATTACGTGGTGGAATGTTTCATGAAACTAGCGGCCGCACAGGATTTAATGAATTATCACCGCTCCCTCAACCTAAAGAACGCACAATTCCTGAGAAAACCGTTGTCACTCTGAAACTTCCGACTACAAAAGAG